CGCTCTTCTGCAGGTCCTTCAGCATGCCCTCCTACAGTACAGACACTGAGCTGCACCCCACCCTCCCCACAGGAACACACGCTGCACCCCCGTCCCTCTGCACTGTGACCACCTGACGGCTGGTGCTGCCCTACTCTGGCTTGGTGGGAGTCGGTGCTAGTGGGGAGGGAAGGCGGCAGCCATCTGGGATGGGGACCTCTGGCCGGTGGGCAATGCTGGCTGCAGAGCCAGGCCAAGGAGTGAGGCCTGTTACCCAAGTGAGCCACTGGGACTCTTGTCACTGTTGGCCTTTGCCACCAGCACTGACCTCATCTGTGGCACAGCACGGTGTTGGTCAGGGAGTGAGGACGGAAAACCTCGCACGGCTCCTGGAATCACTTAGAGGGCTTGACCCGGCAGAAGGCCTATCACTAACCCCGTCCTTTCCGGTGACTGACTGTCCCAATGGTCCTCCCTCTTAAGAGACCAGCCCAGCACCTTCAACTCCGTCCTCCTCAGCTTGGGAACAACGAAGAGCCTGAGCTCTTTTTACCATTCAGACAAAGAAATGGGGCCCAGAGAGGGGAAGTGACTTGCCCAAGGTCACTCAGCCCCAGTGGGCTTTTCCAGTACTATGCTGTCTCTGGCCTCCTGCCTACAGTCCCCTTGGGATGCCCACCCCTGCTGCTCACCGTCTCTGCCAGGATGGTTCGATACTGGTCACACTCAGCCTGTAGCGTGCCCTGGGCCTCCTCCGCCTCCTTTAGCTTGGAGACCAGGTCCTGGGGCAGTGGGGAGAGGAGGTGTCTGGTCAGCCAAACAAGGTTTTCTCCTGACTGCCCGCCACGGCTCCAGGTAGCCGCTGCACCCAGGGACGGGAAAGCACAGGGGACTGTGGCAGCCCCCGCCCGGGGCGCCTGCCTGGCAGCTCTGCTTACCGAGGGGAGCTCGGTGGCAGCTGGCACCTGCTTCAGCAGCTGGGAGCCTTTCTCTTTGAGTTCCTGCAGCCACTCAGTGTAATTCTGCAACGAGACATGCAAGGTGAGACGGGATGGTCCCTGGGAGCAGTGCCTTCTCTACCCCCCTGGCAGCCGCCTTGCCCTCCTACCTGTTGTGCCGAGACGGACAGGTCGGGGAGCAGTGCCTGCAGGGCCTCCCTGGTCTGCGCCTCCGTCAGGCGGAGCTGCTTCTCTGACTCCTCCTGGAGGCCAGTGGAGGGAGAGAGGGCAGCGGTCAGTGTGGAGGCTTGGGGCACCTCCCAGGGCTGTTAGCAGAGGTGCCCGGGTCTCCACAGCTCTTCAGAGGCGCAAGCATTAGAGGAGATGAGGGGGCTCCACAGGGCTGACGGGGCCCAGGGTGCTCAAGCCCAGACTGCTGGGTCAGAAAACGGGCTGAGCTCAAACGAGCAAGAGAGAACAGGCCCCCTGGGTGCGAAGTGCCTACTCCTCCAGTGCCCCATCACCCCGCATCTTCCAAGCTGTGTGTGAGAAGTGGGGGCGTCTATGCTGAGGTGTGGGGCCAGGGCAGGAAGAGGGCGTGGGAGGGTAGCCACGGCCCCAATGCTTTGAACGCGAGAGCCACAACAGGGAGGGGTGAAGGCAGAGAAGCAGCAGCACAGCACCAGGGGCCAGCGCCGGCCGGGAAGGGAGAAGTCAGTGACTCCCAAAGCATGAAAGAGAAAAGGGAACCAAGAAAAGGCTGAAGGCGTGGGGTGACCACAGCACCGTGGGGTCAGACACTGGCCCCTACCCTCCCAGTGGGTGTCTACAGATGGTTTCTGTCCCCAGCAGGGTGCCAGCTCTGCTACCCACTGGGATGTCATTGGGAGTCCCGTCTGGACAGAGCTAGTGGGTGGGACCCCACTGAGGACTCTGAAAAACGTGTGGAGAGAAGGCTGGCAGGCGCCACCCAGCCTGGCCACAGCCTGAGAGGTGGCTCCCTGCCTGCCAGCTTGTTACCCAGACAATGCTGGGGCCTGCTGAGGCCCTTGAGCCTGTGACCAACAAGTCCCCTAGTCATTAGAGTCCAGGATACACTGCAGACTTGGAGCCACCTCCTCTCGCTACTTGGCTGCCAGACTGCCTGCAAGTCAGGTGACGTCTCAGGTCACAGATCTGTGTTTGTCACAGTCCAGATGGTCTCCGAGGCCACTTCTGGGGCTAAGAGTCCAAGACTCACGGAGTCCAATTACAGCTCTGGTAGCTCGTCTGAGGCCAGCCCTTCACCTCCTGCCCTTGGGGTCCTGGTCTGATAAAACCCCCAGGCTTCTCAGAGAATCACGGATCAGACAGGTGTTCCTTTTCTGTGAGCGAAGTAGGGGAGGGCCTCTTATGAGGGATGGAAACGTGATGGGAAAGGGTAAGCCAGGTCTTTGGTGGCCACTGCTGCTGGCCATGCCCCTTAGCAAGAGCCTCCTGAAGACCCAGGACCCCAGAAGCCATGAGGGGGCCCTCAGTATGGAGACACCTCCAGGGCAGCATGGAACACCTGACCAGGGAGACCTCGCTCCATGGGCACTGCTCCCCTGACTTACTGCAGAGCTTACTCATGAGGCTTCAGAGGGCCCGAGAAGCAGCGAAGCAGCGGGATTGCTCAGACTAAGGACCTCGGCCAAAAACGCAGGGGCCTGGTGCTCACTCAGGCCCTGTGGGCTCCCCCCAGAGACTGCTCTCAGCTCTGCACCTTCACAAGAGGGTCAAGCAAAGGAACAAGTGTCCTCCTCACCTTATGGAGAAAGGGGAGGGAGAGAGGGAGGGAGAAAGGTGGGAGAGGAGGAGGCGGGGAGGGAAGGCCTGGCCTTAAAGGGGCGGCTCTGCTGATAGGCAGGAGGGGGCCAGCTGGATGGTGGGCTGACCTTCGCCTGGCTCAGGGAGCGCAGCTTCTCCTCGCAGGCCCTCTCAGTTGAAGCCAGCGCCTCCATCGCCTTCCAGTTCTTCTCTCGGAGGTCCTGGGAGGGGAGATGTGGGGATGTCAGCGCCCGCACAGAGCCAGCTGCTGCCCAGTCCGCGTGCCTCCTCGCCGAAGCGCACGTGGTTCTCTGGCAGCACCAAACGCAAGGCCAGGGGCCACGACCCAGTCTGGGGTGCCGCGGCTCAGGGTGTGAAGAGGCGAGTACCCTTTCAAGGAAGACACGTCTGAGAAATGAGGGGGCCCCCTGCCTCCAGGGAAAGAAGACGCTCCTGCCACCGCAGCACGTGCCGTCCCCCGGGGCCAGCTCTGGCCAGGCTCCCCTGGGAGGCTGCTGTCTACAGGAGGAACAGCCGGGGAAGCCAGCAGTGCCCAGATCCTCTGTCCCCTTCTCCTGGCACCAGCCTAAAGCTCAGCATGACCGTGAGACCCAGGCTGGTCGAAAAGCACACGTGGACCCCTCAACAGAACTGGCCCCACACACAGGCCTGTGAGGCAGTCGGCCCTCCTCAGTGGAGGGAACAACAGCAGGGTGAGGCGTGGAGACATAAAGCTGGTGTTGCCCCCACCCCGCCCCAGCAGGCCCTCCGCCGGCCTCAGGCCGCTCTGGCCCGTTCCCTGCACCCCACTTGCTTGCCCAACACTCACATTGTTTTTCACCTTCTGCTGCTCGACGGTCTCCCTGAGCTCGGTGGCCTCCTTCTCCAGACATGACACCTGGGACTCCAGATCCTTGAGGCTGAGGGGACATGGCAAGGTCACTACCCGAGCTCCAAGGGTCCCCAGTCCCACAGGCCCCAAAGGTCCTCTTCCTTTGCCCTGGGAACCAGGCCCTGCCCAAGGCCCCACCCTGGTGAGGAATACCTGTGAGGCTGCGCCTCTTGTAGGGGACAGTCCCCTCCAGCTGCACCCCCATGTCAGAGGGCCCACCTCCCCGGCAAGCCTGAGCAGCTGCCCAGCTCTTCACCGTGTCCAGGAAGTGGAGGGGCTGGGACACAACCAGTGACTGATGCCAGAGTCCCACTTGGTGACACTGGCCACAGAGACTGGAAGAGGCCATAGTGGCTGGGGGGGGGGCCCCCGCAGCTGCGTTTCTAGAATGTTCTTCTAGTGAACTGATCCCTGATGCCTAGCACATGGCTCTTGCTAGACCCGTCACCAACACCACAGAACATGTTGGCTGGGTCTTCTCACGGCCACCCCTAGCCCTCAGAAGACACCTGAGCTAAAGATTCAAGATGGCTGTCACTGCACCACCGAGACTTCCACCACGGCTCTCAGCGGCCCCCAGCAGCTCCCAGGAGGGACCATCCTTTGCCTAAACCCTCAGCTGCGTTTCTAGAATGTTCTTCTAGTGAACTGATCCCTGATGCCTAGCACATGGCTCTTGCTAGACCCGTCACCAACACCACAGAACATGTTGGCTGGGTCTTCTCACGGCCACCCCTAGCCCTCAGAAGACACCTGAGCTAAAGATTCAAGATGGCTGTCACTGCACCACCGAGACTTCCACCACGGCTCTCAGCGGCCCCCAGCAGCTCCCAGGAGGGACCATCCTTTGCCTAAACCCTAACTCATCTGAGATCCACGGGCTCATAGCTCCTAGGCCCTGGGGCTTGAGGAGTCAGTCACGAGATGACCCTCAGATGCCAGGGGTTGACTAGGTATCAGCCCCTCTTTTCACAGGCTTCTTCCTAGATGTAAGGACCCAGTGGGCCTAGCCGACCCTCATGTTCCAGAGAGTAGTCAACGTTGCTACAGGACAGCACCAGGCTCTGAAGCCCAGTTGCAAACAAATGCCTCTACAGTAAGATCTAACACAGGGAAGGCTCTGGGATGTGGGAAATCCAGAGTCCAGACTGGTCAGCACTGCCCCGAATCAGAGCAATCTGAGCCACTCTGAGACACAGAGGGTGGCTGCCACCACCTGGGGAGGCGGGGGCTCTGGCACCCACGGCCAGTCAGATGGGAACATGCCATTTGTAGTTTTTATTACAGGCCACAGCGGAACAGCATGACAAAACACTATTCTAGAGCTGGCCCCATGGCCCAGTGGTTAAAGGGGCAGGATCCCTCATGGCTGACGGGTTCGAATCCTAGCCCCACACCTTGAAAAACATGCCAGAGGTGTGTGCGTGTGTGCCTAAAATCCTGACGGGATGGAGAAATGGAGAAAGGATTACAGTGTGAGCACACCTCACTGGGAGGGTGTTTTCCCCTCTTTCTTCCTGGCAAACACATGCTCTCTGGCAATTAAAAAAGGACACCATTTGTCATAACGCACCCTAACCCTGGACTAACCCATGACTTCAACATGGCCTTGCAAGTGGCCCAACTGTCCTGCCTCGTGTGGACTTTGCCATGGGACAGCCTCACCCTCTTACCCACACACAGTGTGCATCTGGCCCTGGGGCACTGGTTTCAGGCTCCCAGAACCTTGACCCCACACTGAAAACTCCAAGGCCCTGACAGACCCTGCCTCATGGCCGCTTCCTCATGTGTTCCAGCAAACTGCCCAGAGCATCCCCAGAGGAACAAGTCCCAGAGAAGAAGAGCTGGGGGTGATGGCAAGGACATGGAGACACACACTCTCCTGATAGCGACTGCCCACGTAAGTTCCAAAACATCTGGGGCTGAATCACTGCCCTCCCAGAACAGGATGGCCCAGCCAAGATGAAGGCTGCAGATAAAACTTTTTGAAATGGAAACTGAAGAAAAAATCCCTGCCAGAGACATCTGCACGATGCAAAACCCAGAGCTGATCCTATCGGCGATCACCCCGTAATCTGCTGTAGTCCAAGGCCTATCTTAGGTACAAGAGCAGAGCCCTAACCACCCCCAGGAGCCAGTGCCAGGAGGAGCAGCGTGCATGTCTCTGGGGGAACGAGGGCAGCGGGTCACTTGTGGGTCTCTTCCGAGGCCTTCTGGGTGGCCAGCTGGCTTCCTGCTCTAAGCCCCAGATCTCGATGCTCAATGCCGAGGAGCACGGGCTATGGCTGGGAGCTATGCCTGCTGAGGCAACTTGTGACAGTGGCTACAAGGAAACCCTGTCAGCTGACAGCCTGGGGCACATCTGATGGTGTGTGAGAGGACACCCTCCACACCTACTCCCATGGCTGCTCTGTCCCCTACACCTTCACCCCTGCCACATTAGCTAGGAAGCCCTCCTCTGTTCGGGGATGTGTGCGTGCCCCATAGATGATGGTCACAAGGAGTCTGGTCCCCAACCAGAGCCGCCCTAACCAGGTATTGGCTCTGGCCTTAGCAACAGCAAACAGTCCCCACGCACAGCCTGGAGCTGGTGCTGCCGGACTGAAGGAAAATTCAGTCTGGCCAGCAGTGAAGTCACCTCACAGACAAAGGAAAACAACTGTGCGTGCTTTCAGCTCAAATCACAGTCCAGCATATGGCCTGGGCGACGTCCCAGGCTCTCCACTCTGGGTTGTGCAACTGTTTTTCCTATTTGATTTATAGTCCTTAAAACCCCTCGCCTTGCAGATGTGGAGAGAACATTCTGACGGCCAGCCTCTCCCGGCTGAGGAGGATGCAGCAGGGAGGGAAGGATGGATGGCAGTGAAGTCACCTGCCCCGAGGAGGCACTGGCTGCTCCCCACACGCAGAAACCCCTGAGGCTGCAAGCTCTCTGCAAGACTGCCTTCTCTCCTGCCAGACCTGACCCCTTGCCTTGAAGTCCCTGGATCTCTGAAAGGGGCTCTTCCCCAGGGGACCTCAGCTACCCCGTGCTGAGGCCGAGGGATGTGGGCAGGAAGCCTGGTACCCTCCACCTCGCCAGCTTACCGAGTCTGCTGCTGGTCGGCCTCGGCTTGGCTGGCCTGGAACGAGAGACAGAGGTTGCTTGGTCTCTGTGAGACTCATCTCAGGCAGCAACTGGCCCAGCGGGAGCCTGTTTACGCAATGGAGTTTCCCCTATCCGCCCGTTGACCTGGGGTAGAGGCTGACCTGGGCCTCTCGGGCCTGGCCTGCTTCCAGCAGGGCCTCGATGGACTGGATTCTGTCGGCGAGCCGAGAGTTCTCCGCCTGGGCTTCCTTGAGCTTCCCGTGGAGCCCGCTCAGCTCTTCCCGCTTGCTCCTCACCTCCGCCTCGGAGGACTGCAGCTTGCTGTGCAGCTCTGTGACAGGAGAGCCAGGCTGGGGTCAGGGGTGGGACGGACAGATGCCTGGGTGGACACGGGCTCCCTCCCCTGTATGCCAGGGGCCCAAGAGCGCCGGGGCTGCTTTTTACCTCATGAAGAGAGCCACACCCAGGTATCGTTCTCGAGGACCACAAGGGTAGAATAAAATGACCTCAGCCGACCAACAAGAATATGGCGGAGGCTGCGAGTGGACCTCACTGACATTTCTAAAGATTGTTAGACTCCAGCTCAGGGGTGAGCCGGCCGAAATTCTTTAGCAACTGACTACAGGGACCCCGCTGGCCATGTCTTCCCCAGGGTGTCTCTCCAACCTCTCAAGCTGGCGAGGCCTGCCCTGGGCACCACTCTCCTCTGGGGGGTGTCCTCCTCCCAGTTGACCTCAGATATCCAGCTCTAAGTGTCACCTGTAGGCCCAAGACGCTGGGCTTTCCCCAGGCCTGATCTCCTCCCCAGCCCTGGGCTCTGCTTTCTCCAAGTGAAGCACACAAGGCAGGTGAGACCCGCACTCCCAGCCTCCAGTGTCTCCCCTCGCCCCACCTCTCGCTCGTCTTCAAACCTGCAGATTCCATCCCTCCTCACCAGCACCTCTGTACTTGCCTAGGCCACACCCTGTGGCCTCGGGCCGGGACAGCTCCAGGGACCTCATCCCTGGTCTTCCTGGGTCCCTCCTGCTCCTCCTCTCCCAGCACCAAAGTACCCAGAAGTGTACATGAAACCATCACTCTCCTGCCCCAAAGGCATCTGCCACACTCTACACGATGCTCAGACTCCTCACAGCAAGGGCAACACTAAACCAGCCTTTCCTGTGTGGGTCAAGTTCACGTTCATTCCCCTCAGGCCCTATGCTGATGTCGTGCGGCCCCTCCCGTCACCCGGCTCTAGGCTGCCACCTCCCCTCCTCTGGCCACCTGCTCCGAACCCACACACTGGCCATGGCCGCCTCTGTCCACAGCAGCAGAGCTGAGCAGATCTGAGAGACGCTGCCTGGGCCACGAAGCCAAAGATGTTCACCATCTGTCCTTTCACAGGACGTCTGCAGACTACCCTGGCTTGCGTCCCTGTTAGAGAGTGCTACCATGTGACCCTGTCGCTGCAGCGGTGCGCTGTCATTCCTGGTGTGGCCATGGCAGTTGCTTAGGAAGCACAGTGTGCAGTCCTGGGGTGGGTGGCCGGCCCGCTCTCCCTGGCACCACCTGCTCCTTCTCCAGGGGCCCTCATGCCCCATCCCCACTACCCGCCATGATGGGCCAATCACTGGTGATGCACCAGGGCCATGGTCCTCGCCTCCCAAACCCAGCTTGGCCCTTGGCTGACTGAGCCAGGAGAGCCAGAAAGGCCCAGAACAAACATGGTCAGTTGAGACCAGCTGTCAGGACCGCCTTGGCCACCTACAGCCACCAGCCTTCTTGGGCAGGCAAGTGGTGTCCCAGGCTTGGGCGGGAGGTAGCACCTTCTGTCCCCAATCCAGCCCTCAGACTTTGTCCCTGACTCAGCCCTCGTCGGCTCTATAACCCCATGTCAGCAGCTGGTCCCCTAACAAGGCAACTCTTGCAGCACTGCACCCAAAGGGCTGCCCACTGGGTCCTGGCCCTGGCAGCAGGGCCACGATCGTGCGCAGACCCCCACATCCTGCTCAGATTCCCTGGACCCCACCCAGAGTGGGTGCTGCGGAGACGCTGCCCTCACCGGCCATCTGCTGCTGCTGCTCCTGGGCCTTCTCGGCATCTGCCCGCAGGCTGGCATGGCTGGTCTGTGTCCGGCAGAGCTCCCGGCTGACCTCATCCAAGCGCTTCTGCAGGGCCTCCTCGCTCTCCTTGTGAGACACCTGGGCAGGCATGGAGTGGGGGGTGGTGAGGCTGGAGGGAAGCCGGGCCCTCATGACTCAGGCTAGGACACAGCTCTTTCTGTTGGCCATGTTGCTCTCACCAAAGCCCTGGGTTACCAGAGTCAGGGCCGTCTGTGCAAGAAAGTAGTTTATTCCTAATGCTCTAGAATCTGCAGATTTCACCCCAGCCAGAGGGTAGCTGCCAGAACCTATGAGCATTCCTATTTCTTTTTTGGGTCTCGACAGTTTTACATACTCAAATGATCTATGACTACGTGCTTCTTGCAAGAGTCCACAGAGATCAACTCAGAGTAAATTAGTCCAGTGACCCCGCCGAGGCCCTCTGCCCCTCCCGGAGGCAGGCAGTGTGGCGGGCCCTGCCTGCAGTCGTGTGCTCGCACATACACACGCATGGTGGTGACCCAGATCACCCTTCGGAGCAGTGGTTTCGGTGTTCTATTAGGATGAACTGCATGATGTTGCCACTGCTCGGCCATCTCCGACCTACACAAGTGGCAATGTCTCAGGTTTGGTCTCATCTCGGAGACACAGCAGCGTCAGCATAGATGGGCGACCTCCTTCCGTCTCACAGCCACTCAGGCCTCTGATGTGCCCGACGGGTGCCCAGTTCCTGGCTCTGTTGCAGGCGGGCTGCCCTAGTCTCTGGCTGCCCCAAATGCTCCAATGGACATCATGATCCATGTGGCAAGCATTCCCACCTCTGGGGAAGAGAGGATAGCAAAGCTCTGGTTCTCGAAGGGCCAGACCACCGGCACTGAGTTAGCCAGCTGGTCTGGGGTAGGGCCAGGTAGAAGGGGCAGCGAGCATGTGCCTCCTGTTGGCCAGAGTGAGGTGCTGCACCACCTGTGCCCCTGTAATAAGTGGGCTTTAGCCACACCCAGTTCATCCTCTTGTAGGACAATGGCTGGTCAACCTGGCGCGAGGCTAACTACTCTGAGCCAAGGAGGCATACAAGTCTGGGGCAGGTGAGCCATCGCAGAGGATGTGCTGCCAGGTGGTGAATAAACAGGTACCGAGCAGGGGCAACCCAGGGCAGCAATGCAGGGGGCAGAGCGTTCTCATTAGAATGTAAGGGGGGGGGTTGCGGCTTAGTGGCACAGAGGTAACGTATCCACAGGGAAGATCGCGGGGTCAATTTCCCAGATGACCTGTGCACGCTGAGCTTGTGAACCCCAGTCCTGGCTGGATGGAAAGACCGAGGAGACACAGCATGAGACCCCTCAGAGGGCACCGTTCACTCTAATGGAATAATAAACTTACAAAGAAAAATGTTACAGGCTGAGCTGACTTCCAACTCTAAGGGAGGAAGGGAGGAAGGGAGGAAGGGGGGAGGGGAAGAGTGCAGGGGGCTCCCGGAGCGCGCTCCGCCCAGCCACCCTGCATGGCAGCACAGGCAGGCCTGCTCCCCCCTCCCCCGCTGGCCCGCACGTCTCTGCGCAACGGACTCCGACAGGACAGAGACGTCTGCGACTAGAGAACACGACCGTTTGCTTCCTCACCCTCTTTCATTTTTAGTTTTTCGCCATAGGCCGTGTGCACCCACCAGGAACAGACACAGAGAGGGAAAGTGAGAAATCCCCCCTGGGGGCATGGCCACGCTGCAATCCCTTCTCCTCCTCTTTCAGGATTTTGGGCACACACACGCACACACATGCACGCAGTGTGATTTTTAAGTCACCAGGTCCAGAGCTTGCACCGTGGTCACCATATGGGAGTAGCGCCTTCACCACCATGCCACCGGCTGCCTGCCTTCTCTCCCTCTTCCTGACTCTTCCTTAAGACCACGGGCTCCAGGCCAGACCGCAGGGAGACTAACCGCAAGTGTTTCTCCATTCTGAGCTGATGTCCCTTAGAACACTGGCTTTAGTAATTGCCAGGAAGGAACAAGGAGACAGAAAAATCCCACCCACCTCCAGGAACCCCAAACTTAAACTCTTCAGTAGAAGCAGGTGCACGCCCCAGGGCCCTGGATGCCGGCTCTTGCCCTAGGAGAGCATAGTGAGCACAGCCGATCACGGTGAATGGTTTTGGCAGCTGGTCTCACGGCAGGCGGGCGGGCGGGTGAGTTTATAAAACCCTCCCACGTTTTGAGATTCAGTTCACTGCTGGAATGCAGAGCCGGGACAAGTGCCGTCAGTGCCCATGACAGACACCTTTCTTCCAAGCAGACCTGCAAAGCCATCTGAGGGAAGAGGGGCACGGGGGCTGGTGGGGGTTCTCTCTGATGCCCAAGCTCTTGGACCCAAGGTCAGTGCAGGAAGCCATCCTGTCCTGGACCCTAAGAGCTAGCTCTCAGTGAAGAGGCCTCAGGTGAAGGGAAGAGCCCATTTTCACCTCGGCATAACTAAACATGCTTTGTACAACTTAAACCTGCAGCCTAACCTGGGATCTCCCGGCAGGACTTCGTCAAATTCATGTTTATGAAGCTCTTCTCTCTGCAACACTGCCCTTGTTCTAAGCACCGTGTATCTACACAGTTAACACCCGCAGCCACCCTATGGTGTCCCTATGGGACAGGTACTGCTGTCACACCCATATTACAGATGGGGAAACCACAGCTTGAAATAAACTGCTGGGGGCAGAGCTTGGATTGGAACTGCTGATGCCAGAGGCCTCACTGTCAGTACCGTGAAAAACAGCAGGCCAGGCTCTGCTTCTACCAGCAGCCCGGTTGCAGGATCCTGACGTCACACTGAAAAGGACAGCCTCTTCTATCCAGGCCTAGGCTGGGTAACCACTCTGAGGCCTGGAGAGGGCGGGGGACAACTGGAATCAGTGGCTCAGTGGGGAGGACCTGGACCAGGCCCCTGCTAAGGCTGCATTGTCCTTAAGAGTGACACGTGATGGCAAAACCTATCAGGAAAGCGGCCGTTCGGCCCCAGGCCCCAGAGCCAGCTGGGAGCCTCTCAGAGAGAACCACACCAGTCCACTCTAAGGTTCCACTCAGTCTGGGTGGGCCCATTCCCCATGGACATCAGAGAACGCCAAACCATCCACCTCGGTTCGCTGGACCCACACTGGTTTATCTGCCCGTGTTCTCCTGCGCTCACTCACACACCAGCCTTGCAATCTCGTGTCTGTGCTCAGGGCCGTTCTAAGAGACCCACCATCCCCTCACACTGCAGCCTGGTTTCCATGATGGACCAGGAGAAATAGTCAAAGTCACCAGGATTCCTCGTTACCCAGAAAAGTTAAGCCCAAAGCAGGCATGACACCAAGGCGCCTCACGCTAACGTAAGTGCTCCACTCCCGGTCAACCTGCCAACTCTGGTCATCTGGAGTGCCAGAGGCCTCTGCCCTGAGGAAAACCCCTGGATGCTGCCCAGTGCACCTGGGGGACAGGGGACAGTGTTCCTCCTCAAAGGAGAACAGGCATCCTCCTGGCCAATCAGGCTTCCAGGCCACATCCAGAGGCTGAGCAAGGAGGAGGAGGCTGGGCCTGTGGCCAGACGGCTTGGCTAGCTGTGACGTCTCAGTGCCATGGTGGCAGCAAGTGGGAGGACCCATGCATCTCTGGAGCCAGCACAGGGGTTTGAATTCTGCCTCTCCTACACCCTGGCCCAGGAGGCTGAGGTAGCAGAGTAAGCTCTCTGTGCCTGGAACCTCCTTCTGTGTAGACTGCGGACCTGACACCTCCCTCACAGGCTAGGAACGAGATGCACCGAGTTAGCGCCTGTGAAATACTCAGCAATGCAGTGCGCACAGTGAGTGCCAATGGATGCTGGCTGTCCCTGTTACTAAGGAGGCCTTGGTAGAGGCCTTGCCTGGCCCTGCCCACATCTACAGCTGGCTGGGTAGGCCCTGGCCGGGCCCTGCTATGCAGACAGGCTTAGTGGGCTGCAGCCAGGCGCTGGGGCAGTAGCCATGCCGACTCACCTGTAGCTGCAGCACCTGCTTCTCGAAGGCGGCTGCCTTGGCCTCCAGAGCTTTGCGCTGCTGCTCCTCCTGGCGTACAGCCTCGGCCCTCTCCACCAGCTCCTTGCTGACCTTGGTGAGCTCCTGCCGCAGCTTCGCCAGCTCTGCGTTCTGCCTGCAAGACAGCCACCAGCCCCAACTGACAGAGAGAAGAGGTGACAGGGACCTGTGGGCGGAGCGTCCCCTGGGGACACCTGCTCTGTAAGTAGCAGCCCAGATCTTGCAGCCACGACGGACGCTCCTTTGGCACTAGCAGCTGTGTGGGGTTTGGAGGAAGCTGTGTGTGTGCTGAGGGAGGTGTTGTGCCAGTAGTGTGGACCAGGAAGAGTGACGGGCAAACGGGCACTAGAGCACCTGCAGGGCCCTCCTGGCCTGCTGCAAACTCAGGCAGAAAAACAGCCAGATCCTGTCCTCCTTGCTGCTGATCTAGGTGTGGACAAGCCTCAAGATGCAGGCGACCCACTTGGGGCCCCTGCAGGAGTCCACGTGCCCCATCTCACTAGATGGTGGTCAGTGGGAGGTCGCCCAAGCTGGGGCCGCAGGCACCCATAAAGCAGACCCTTCGGCACACACTCCAGAGCTGGTCTCAGACCAGGGCAGGTTGAGGACGGGGGTGGGGTGGTGATTCTGGTTACAGGAGGAGCCTGGACTATGAGGAACAGGTCACTACAGAGTTGTGAGAAGAACAGGACGCTGGCTCTTCACTGGCACAGATGCCATCTCTTCACAGAACTGAAGTGACCAGTCCAGGGGCAGCATCAGACCAACCCCCAGGGCAGCACCAGGCTGGGCAGGGGGCAATGAGGCTAGCTCTGCCCCCCTAGCTGGGTGACATCAAGCCCTCTGGGGCCATCACTTTTCAATGCCAAGATTCGAGCAGCCTGGGATGGGACAGAGCAAAGGGGAGGGCGGCTCTGAGCTGGGCCTGGGAGGCCATGCACTTTGAGCACCCTACACCGGGCCAGGCTTCAGAATGTGAACAAAAGGTGACACATCCCCAGGTGACAGAGCTTCTCCAGTAAGGAGGCTGCAGAGGACTCTACGTGAGAGGGAAGGCCAGCGTGTCCCTGTCCCCTCGTTCATCTTCTGCTGTGGTGCTTTGGAGGAAATGGCACCATAACCCTCCAGCCCAGCAGTGGGTCAGGAGCAGACACACACACCTAAGGGGACCTCGACAGGATGACCTGGCTGGGGAAGGCAGCCGTCAGGACTCACTCTGCAGCACCAACAGCACCAACAGCCATGCAGCCCGAACACCCTGTGCCCAGTCGTGTTGCGGGCCTCCCCACGGCCTCCCCACCAGAGGGCCAAGGGTGCCGGCATGCTCTGCTGTAGTCGCTTCTCGGTTTGGAGAGAGCAGATGCTCTGGGGGTAACAGAACCCCAGCTAAGTCCCTGAGGCCACTGAAAAGTGCAAGAGGGCACAGAAATGAGCATTGGAGCAGTGTGATGGGTGTCCCAAGGGCCTGCCTGTTATGGCGGTAATGCCTGAGTCAGACAAGCGGAAGAAAGCACGGTTGTACTTAACACCAGGTGAAGGGCCGCCCGAGGTCACCTGGCTCCCAGCGGACCCCAGTGCTCCAGCTACCCATAGGCAGTGCTTAGGGCTGAGGACAGGTCGAGCAGCTGGGCCCATGCGCTATGACACAGTCCTCGTCTCCAGGGCCTTGTGGCAGAGCCCCTGTAAGACAGACCGTGCTTCCAGGGACGACCTAGGCTGTGGCAGATCCCTGGGCCCGCAGACTCTCACCTCGGACAAGCCTCTTGGCTGTGATACTCTGGGCCAAAGCAGAGTGCCTAAAGCCTCCCACCAGGGATGTTGAGAAGGTATTGCTCTTCCAGGAAAGCAAGATGCCAGCACCAGCCAGGACCTGAGGGGTGCCCAATCCCCCCAATGCTGGGCATGCAGGCTGGAGCACACCCTGAGGCCCGTGCCCCCTGAGAGGCCACCTGGCCGCCTGTCAGAAGACTCAGCAGCCCAGCCTAGCCACAGCGGCACAGTGACAACACAATGCTCTGCGAGGCTGGAAGCCATATGGAAGGCTGAGGTTTGGCCCCAGGTCGACCCACCAGGGGCACACGCATGCCGGGACCTTGGCCGACCGGGAGAGGCTGGAGGCATGTGTGTACTGTCGTGTGAGACTGCTGCCTGTCTCTCACTCATCCTTTGCTTCTTATGAAATAAACAAACAAGAAAGCCTTGGCGACTCAGAGCTGGACAGATGGAGGGTCAGAGTGGCCTGTATGAGGAGGGGGCCTCATGCACATGCGTGTGCTGCTTGTGCATGGATGCCGTGCTGGCTGCGCACCCAGCATGAAGCCCAAGTGGATACGTGGCAGCCCAGAGCCTCAGCACGCACCGTCCCCGCGACCTGGAGGGCATCCCCGCTTACTTGCTCTCCACCTGGCTCGTGGCCTGGTTCAAGGCGTCCCTCAGGATGGAGTTCTCCTGCTGCAGACGGGCCAGCTGGGTGTTGGGGCCATTCTCCAGCTGCTCCTGGAGAGTCCGGATCTGGAAAGGCATCGACGAGGGTGTCAGAGTGCCACTCAGCCACACAAGGAGAACTGACTTCCAGACTCGGGACAGTGAGGACACAGCCCACAGGGAGAGAGCCCTCGGAGGGCTCCTTCTCCATATAAGATTGGGGGATCCCAAAGAATGAGAGGCCTGGAGACCACACAGTGCCAACAGCAGGGGCTCGAGGCTGAGTGGGACCACAGTGCCATCTCTCTCTCCTTACTGCCTGTGGCCACGCACACAGCCCAGAGCCTCAGCCGTGCTGTGCACGTCTGTCTCCAAGGCCACGCTGGCCGACCGATCTGAGACACAGGACACAGCCATGGGCCATGGCCTACAGGTCCCCGAGGAAGACTCATTCCTGCCCTCTGACCTCCCATGGCACATCCTAGGATGTGTTGTAGGGCAGAGGCCACAGTTCATGGCAAACAGAGTGCAGGATCCAGTCTGACCACGGCCAGTTGGACCTGTAGTCACCTGACTCTGGTCTTGCAACACCCTCCCAGTTTCACCATTTTCAGGCCTCCTCCCAGTCACGTGTGGGGAAGGCAGCCAGCACGACCCCAGGTCACCGGGAGGCTGAGGAGTGGGCTGGCCACTTGAGGCCAAGCTCTTTGGAGAAAGTGCTCTTTACAATGTGTTATGGGGGCGCAGGTGGGAGGGCACCGCTGTATAAGACTGGGCCATGTGGATGCCCAGGTTCCCCCAGGGCGGGCAGGTGCAGTAGGTACATCTTAACCCTCACCAGCTGGGAGGCAGGGGCAGGGGGTCACAAGGCGAGACTGTCACTAACCATGCCTCCTCCTCTTGCTCTTTCTTTCATATTAAAAAAACAAAACATACACCTTCCCGGTTATTATCACACCACACACACCACATGCATACACACACACACACGCACCCCCAGAGGCTGCCTGACACTGTCCTCCAACTGCAGTAGCCCCTCTAAAAACTAACCAGCCTTGGGACCAGCAGATGGAGTAATTGTTATGTCACTGGACTCCCACTACGTTTGAGTCCCAGATCCAGTGGCTTAAAACTCAGGCCGGGCGCACGTGTGCATGCCCAAAATGCTGACGGGAGAGGGGAGTAGGGACTGTGGCATAGCCATCAACACTGGGGGGTGATTTCTCACTTTTTGTCTCTCTGTCTCTGTCTTTTCCATGAGTATATGCACCCTACAGCAAAAATGTCTCTTTAAAAAAAAAACAAAAAAACCTAACCATGGGACCTGCAGTTGGCATAATGGCTATGTCGCTGGATTCCCATGTAGTCAACCGCAGTTCAAGTCTTGAAACTGGTGGCTTAAACTCACGTCAGGCGCATGCGTGCCCAAGATCCCAACAGGAGAATGGAGGAGAAGGGATTGTGGCGTGGCCATCCCTCCTGGGAGGTGATTTCTCACTTTCTGTCTCTCTCCATCTTTCTGGCAAGGGCATGCACCCTATAGCAATAAACCTCTCAAAATAAAATAAATGAAATAAAAACCTAACCAGTCCCTGCTGGGCTCCTGACCCCTGTGACCTCCTCAACCCCTCCCGGCCCTCTCTCTCCACCCTCCCCAGCCCTCCCCGCCTGTGGAGGTACCCACCTTGCCCTGCAGCTGCTGCACCTCCTTCATGTGCTCCCGGTAGCTGGCCTGCATGCGTGCCTGCACGGCCACGACCTCCTGCTCCCGGGCCACCAGCTGCTTTTTCACCTTGGCCTCCCCCGCTGCTGCCTTGGCCTTTTCCGCTGCCATCTCCTGGGGAGAAAGTAGAGAGAGGGGTCAGGCAGGCAGGAGCAGGGTACAGCAGGATGGGGAGCATCATGGGCAGGGGAGGCACAGGTCCAAGCCAACCACAGCAGGAGCACTGGACAGGGAAGAATCCACATGAAGCGTTCCAAAAGGGAGGACTGCATGGCTGGCCGGGGGACCCCTGGAGCAGTGTCCCATGAGTTCACGGCCTGACCCTTCCCTGTCCTAGGAAGTGACTGGAGGAGGGAAACCCTCTCCCCCTCGCAGGCCAGACTACCAGAGTGTCCCTCCGCCTGCGATGGCGGAGGCCTGGGGGTGGCTATCACGTGCCTAGCACCCTGGGGCCCACTGCCCCCACTTTTCATAGACAGTCAGCTTCTTGGCCCTGCTAGGGGCCTGTGGGGCCAGGCTGGGAACACCTCTCAGACTATGTACGGATGTGGAGGAGTGGCAGTCACCTGTCCCCTGGGATGGGCACTGTCTCACTGAACTGTCAGGAAGATGAGGACTACGCTCCCTCTCTCAGGCTGCAGTCTCGGCCTTGGACAGGACACACTGTTAAGGGCCAAGGAGAGCCCTGAGTGACAAGGAGGGGGCCTGAACCTGGGACTCTGCCAACCTCTTCCAGGAGGCCCCCAGGAAGGAGTGACAACACCTGCTCCTCTGTGTGACCCCAGAGCCTCGAGGGAGGCAGCAAGGATATCTAGCAGGGGCCCAGGGCACCTCTGTGCCTCCTCTGTGGGAAGAATGGGTGAGGTGGGATAAGGAGCCTGCACACACCAACTAAGCAGGCAGCCCCCCTCTTTACTGGGCTCCCCATACAACATTCCCTCAACAATCCAGCCTCAGGAAGAAAAAACCAAAGCCTGGAGAGGCCCCTGACTGCGCATGGCCACAGCTGGCAGGTTGGAGAGACACTCACAAGCCATCCTCCGTGCAACACGCCAGACCCAAGGCTGGCAGAGCCCCAGGCTCCCCAGTCCAGCCCTGCACAAGCCTCCTGTACTTCTGGGAACCCTCCGGGCTCAGGCCGTGCAGGTCCCAATCTCCTGGGGTCAAGATCCCAAGGCCATTAGATTTCAATGGGATTTTCCCCCTTCCTTGGCTCCTTGTTAAAAGGGCAGAGAAAAGCCAGCTGTCCTTGGGGTGTGTGTTTAGCTCTGGGGCTTCTGTTCCTTCTACGAGCTCAAAATCCCAGGACTTTTCCTGCCTGTCAGTTGCTAAGGTCAGATCTATTTTCTTGAAAAGCATTCTGGGTGGGGGTGGGGGTACTCCAGCTGGAGCCGGGTGCTTTACTGTAGAAGAAGCTCGGCACCACCCGCATGGCACTCAGAGACGTGCTTGGCCACTCCCTTTGGGTGCTGTTCTCCAGACTGGCTGTGAGCTCTCAAGGCCTGGGGAAGGCCCTCTGACCTGCCTGCCCAGGTCCCAACAAGGGTGTCCAAGGAAGTAGCTGCCACCACCAAGGTCCACAAAAGGATCCCCCCACACCCTTCTAAGAGCTCAGGGCACCTTGGTGCACACTGGTTCAGAGCCTGGCCTGTTCCCAGACCCTCGAGCACCACAGCCAGCACAGGGTGGGTCTAGCCCAGAACATGGCTTCTGGACATGGGCCTGCTGTGTCCCTGACAACAGCGGGAGAGGCTTCCAGAAGGCTGCACCGCTGACCGACTCACTGGAGCCTGGCTTGGATTCTTCAAACTTGGACACGGAAGACTCTCAGAAGGCCAGGACAGAGCTCTCTCTCCCAAGGGCCCCAACTCCTGCAGACAGGCCTGGGCTAGCCCCTGCACCCAGCTCTGCTGGGACCCCATAGATTTGGGACGCGCAGGCCCAAGCCTGCTCAGAGCATGTCCAGAACAGACCCCAAGAAATGAAATTAAGCAAAACCACCTTTTTCAAAAATATAGGTACAGAGACCAGCAGTTAGCATCATGGCTATATCGCTGGACTCCCATGTAGTTGACCGCGGTTCGTGTCCCGGATCCGACAGCTTAAACTCACACCCTCACTTTCTGTCTCTCTGTCTTTCTGGTGAGTACACATGCCCTATAGCAAAAACCTCTCCAAAAAAAAATAGGTACATACACAGAAGTACGTGGAAGGGCCAGAGCATGAAACGCAGGTCTTATTGCTCTTCCCCAGCTCCCTGGGGGGAAGTGAGAGGACTGTCCTTGTCCTCAGTGCTTTGTCTTCTAATTTTCCCAGTGCGGGGCGAGCAGTCATGACACAGATGAAGTGAACACGGCAGTGCTGCCAGGACTGTTGACTGGGAGCTGCTGGGACCTGAGTCCACAAATTCCAGGACACAGGGAGGAAAACATCCTGCTGCCTGAAGCACACATTTAACCACTTACACGAGAAGACCTGCGATGCCAGTCAAGGCTCCCTCCAAGCTGCAGGCAGGCCTTGGCCCTGGCGGGAGCCAGGCAAATACATGCTGCCCAACTGTGATGGCCTCCTTGCAGAGCGGAGCATGGGAGCACGGGAAGGCTCTAAGGGAGGGTGTCTTAGCAGTCCTCAGGAATAAGAAGAAAGCTCCCAGACAATCAAGCAGGGGACATCTGAGGCCAAGGGAGAAGCAGGAGTGGCCCAGAGTGGGCAGGAGAAAGTGGCACGTCCAGGAGAAGTCGAGGCTGTGCACCAGGAGGGTGAGGCCATAGGTGAGCCGGGTGGGAGGCGTGCTCAGGAGGCCAAATGTAGTTTTAAACTTAGGAGCCACTGGCAAAGCCTTGAAGCGACCTCACAGAACTAGATCCGCATTTGAGAGTCCCAGAGCTGCAGTGAAGAGGCTGTGGTTAGGGTTCGACGTCTTACCTCAGAGCAAGGCCAGCACTGGGCAATAAAAACCAAGGGCCATACACTCATGGCCAGGGAGAAGTCCTACTGTCCACCCAGAGGATGCAGACACACCCCAGATCTGTGGTCAGCTGCCGCTGTGTTTGGAAGTTACCCCCGAGGGGGAGTCTGGGCACCAAGTGCCCAGCATGAGAGGCTGCATCCATCTATGCCCTGCCCTTGGTGGACAGAGATCCCTACGAGAGCAGATGGGCTTCCAGGCACTGCAGAGGGTGCAACTGACTCTCTCGTCAAACACCCAGCCTGTTCTAAATGAACAAGAACAGGCACAAGTTACTGGCTGTGTGAACACTCAGTCCCATTTTCTGTCACCTGAGCTTGATTTGGGGGGGGAGGTTAACAGATTTTTAGTGGATTTCTCAGGTTGCTTAGGAAGAGTATGCAAGAACAGCTCAGCTGGCTATCAGAAGTTGGAAGGGCTCCAATCTGTAGCATCTGCCAATTGCTGTGGTGTAAATACTCTCACCGGGCCTGTGCCTAACTGCTAGGGCAATGTCTCCAAGCATGGAATTAGGAAAGTACACCAGGCAAGCAGCTCCAGCCACCCTGCATGTAACCAGCCACCCAGGACAGCTCAAGTGAGGGCCATGTGGCATCAGTGATAAGACTGAGGCCAATGTGGATAGAAGGCTACTGAGCTGAAGGGGAGGCACTACAGGCTCCTGAGTGGAACACTTACAGAGTGACTGTCCAAAGGCGTGTCTTCTGGTCCTGCCCATCTCCCACCCAGTGAACTTGCCCATCTGGCTCAGAGCCATGACCCTGAACTTAAGACCCTAAGCCAGGCTGTCTCGTTTCCAGTCTTTGTGAACAAGCAAACGGGGATGCCCAGCAGGGCTGCCCGAGATGGTAATGGCCATTCTGTGGTCCAGGCCACCTCCCCGCATTTGCTGCCTGAGATAGAGGGGTAGGTAAACAGGCCGAGGGCGGCTGCCCGAGATGGTATTGGCCATTCTGTGGTCCAGGCCACCTCCCTGCATTTGCTGCGTGAGATAGAGGGGTAGGTAAACAGGCCGAGGGGGACAGCAAGCCCCCAGCCCTGTGGGGCTGGGGCTCCCCTTGCCCTACCCTCACTTCCTCCAAGAGGACTGGGCCACCGTAACTCAGCCCTCAGAAGCAGACAGGGAAGGGAGAGACTTCAGTGGACTCAGCGGGAGGACGGACAGGCTCTGTGCTTCG